AGTCAAACTTGGAGACTTCGGACTAGCAAGGTCGATTGGGATACCAATAAAGCATTATACGGCTGAGGTGGTGACAATGTGGTACAGAGCGCCGGAGCTCATAATGAGGAGTCAGACGTATTCCTCCGCAATTGACCTATGGTCTGTTGGTACTGTATTAGCTGAGATGGTGATTAAAGAGCCTCTTTTTAGAGGAGACAGTGATATCGATCAGATCCACCGCATTTTAAACATCTTAGGAAAGCCGAGTGATGAAGACTTAGAAAAGATGCCATATTTCAACAAGTCGTACTTCACCTACCAATTTCAACCAGAAGATGAGATACTAGAAAAGCTCAAGAGGGCTGGAGAGAGTGGCGTTTCTCTTTTATTAGGACTGCTCGACTACGTTCCTGGAAGAAGGTTTTGTGCACGAGAAGCAATGCAACACAAGTTCTTCAAGCAGAATGAATAACTTTTGGAGTTCCTCTTTTCTTCCAATGATCCACATCACACAATTAAACAACCATTTTTATAACAATTGATTATGCAAGAACATGATTAGATGTCTACAAATCCTCTAAGAGGAAGCCCGAGTTTAAGTCATCTCTTTGTTGTGGTTTATATTTAGGAGCCTTGGGGGGTGGTGCGGAAGGTGGGAGCATGGTTAATGGTCTTTGTGGTTTAATAGCATAACGATTGACGGGGTCCAAGTTATTTCTCGGACTCAACGCAGGAATCGATGAAGGTGAAAAAATAGGTGACGCGCCTTCAGACGTCATTTTTGGTATTTTTTCTTGTTGGGAAGGTACTTTTGGGATCATCGATGTCGGCACGGTGCACAACATCTCGGGTTGTGTAGTATTTAAATTTCTCCCTCTGACGGTTGTTGTGACGTTCTTCGAGTAATTGAATCGGGTGTCTGCAAATATCGTGTCTGCCTCTGTGATAATGAAAGTCATCATTTCCAAGTACTCCCCAATATCATCGCTTGCAACAGAAAACAGTGTTGGTGTCCAACAGACAGCCAAGTTCTTTTCGCCCATCAAGTTCTTCTCTGAATTTTGAGCCACATGGTGACACATTAAACACAGTGCTTTGAAAAATGTGATTTTCTCCTCGGGAATCCACCGTTGTGTTGAGAACAAGTGTGCCAACTCATCAATACGCTCCATCCGCTCTGTTGATTTCTCTTCTATATAAGTCCAATTCTTTTATAATTTATATTAATTATAATAATTAATAAATGAGTATGAACAAACTGTATACCGAGAGCATGTCTCGAGCAAGAGAATTACAAAACATCATTCCTGGTAATTCTCTTGTAAATCGTTTCAAAGTGTTTGCGATAGTCTCACAGGGGAACTCGTTCAAATTTGACACCGAGAGTCTGTGGTACAATTCACTGACTTGTTTCAAAGAAGCTGCTGTTCTAAAGAGTCCTTGACGTTCGATGAACTTGTTTTCAATCAAACTGATCATCTCTTCGATGACCTTTGGTATCTCATTTCTTTTCCTCCTCTCCAAGTCCAAAATTTCGCCTAAAGTCTTTCCAACATAAGGCACGCATTTCATTTGAATTGTTGGTATCACGGCTTCATTTGTTTCTATGTTGTCGATGAACCCATTCAAATTCTGGTTGGTTGCATAGAAGCTGTTGATGTTGTTATTAAACATTTGGTAGATCTTATACGGTTGTGTCTGCATAATAAAAGTCCTTGAATTGAAAAGTCTCGACAACTGATATCGCATGACCACCATCGATTCTAAAGTGTCCACAGGCTTCCGCATGTTCTTTGTGAAGTTTTGTTTCACGTCTCCAATCTCTTTGAGCAATTGTTCGGCTTGTTTGACAACACACTTTGACATTTCTTCTTTAAGAGCTGTGAAATTGCCTTGTGTGAAGAGTAAGAAGTTGATTTGAAGTGTCGTTTCATCCTTTTGGACTGGCAAGACATCTCTTTGTGAATGAAAGTTTCTTTGTAATTCGGACAGATTTCCAATTTGGTCGATGACGATTTGGAATGCGTCAAGGATCTTATTGGTGATGCTTTTGGTCTTTCTTGTGTAGTATTCGTACTCATCAAGTAACTTCAAGTTTGTGTTTGCAAACTCTGCTTCTGAACAATCTTGTTTGTCCATTGCGTTGACGGCTGCGTTGACAGCTCGTTCTGTCTTTGTTTTGAGTGTGTCTAAGACAGAAGTCTTCATTTGACTTTAAATAGTTTCTATTATTTATTTCATCAACTTAGTGTTAAAACTCCATCATTTTCAAACAAAAAAAAAAGGTTATTTCAGGCGCTTTTTTGAAAAAAGAATAGTTATAATATATAGTTTGATTAATTAAATTTTTAATTAAAAAATAATAAGAAGACATGTTGTTGAAAATCATTGGGTTCGTTTGAAAAAAAATTCTGGAAATTTTTGGGTTTCGAATTCGTTTTTTTAAAAAATATTAATTGTTTTTACTATAACTAAATAATAATTTTTAATTAAATAAAGATAATATTTATATTATATATATTAGTATATTAGGAGAAAACATATTTTATCATTTTATCACTTTTTGCGGCATAACGATTTGATTAATTACATAAAAAAATAGTTCTTAATTAATATATGAGATAATAATAAATTGCCATATAACATT